CCTAATATACCACTGTCATAGTTTACTAACCTCAGGCTACTTTTGAAGTAAAACGGATTGAAGCTTTTTATACGTATTTTTCTTTTAATGATCAGATCAAATTCTCTCTAACTGAAATAGTCTAACAAAAATTTCCCAAGAGAGGTGTAAAATGTAATATCTTATACAATAATGTGATAGATATGGCAAAAAATTTTCGTAGAAAATACTTTTCTTTCTTTCAAAATTTCACAGTCTCTATGCCACTGGTGTAGTTTCAGTCACTAAAATTGTTTATGATTTCATAAAATTTAAATGTTTACCCTAAGCTATACACACAAGTCAATAATCATGACGTTTAATACTTATTTTACAAATGCTTTGGAACATCCAGTAGCCTGGTGTCAAACTGCCAAGCTTGAATGCAGTAGAAAGCAGATTTCACCTGCGGACTGGTTTATCCATCCATCCATGGTTTAAAACAACAAATGCAGGCTAGGTAGAAAATTCGTATATTAAGCGTTATATTTTAAAAGTGCGAGTGCTTGCAGATAATTTTGGTGTTATACGATATCAATTCATGATACTTTCACATAATTTGCAAAGAGCGGCACAAGCCTAGTGAATGTAAATGTTTCCTCCGCGAAATATTATCATTGTTTTGATATAACGCTGTCACTTTGAGAGACATTGGTATATAAATGAGTCAACAGTATGCACTATAACAATGCAATCTAAACATATAGGCATGGGTTTTTCTAATTTATTCAAATTGGTTGGTTCCAAATAAGAGTGAGGTACTAATGTACCTTGGTTATGTTTCAATTTTGATAGCATGAAGTCTCATTTTGGACTAGTTTTTCGCCTATTAAAATACTCCAAAAGGATAGCTGCACGACAAACTACATCTAATGTTAGTTGATTCTCATGCGGTTTCGAATCTTTTGAAATAGTTAAGCGAGAAAAATCTTGAAAGATTGACACTGAGATGATATCCTGTGTTCAGTAATCCAGACGCATCTACATACAGCTTGAAAAGCACTTTTTCGATCGTAACCAGTATTAACACAACTACTGTTCTGATAATGGGATTAAATTAAAAATGATTCCCAGTTTCGTTGCAGATGAATTTGAGCTTTAATGATTTAGTTTCTGATATTAATGCAATTTTAGTAAAAGGCTATTGACAAGTCCAGGGCGAAAGAAGCTTGAAGAACAGTCTAAATGACGTTGGAGCTATGGTCAAAAAACAAAAAAAAAGGCAAAAATTCTTATAATGCAATTTTTACATTGTAGAATATCCAGACCGTTTTCGAAAAAGTTCTTTGATAAGTGAGATGCTGGAAGTCGGAGTTCTAGATTTCATATTTTTGGCGTAGCTAATGAAATGTCTAAGCCTCTGCTCCTCCACGACTATTTTTTCAAAGTATAAAAATATCATGCAATGCATCTCGCAGGCGGTATAAATTGGCAAATGAATTATTGCGGAGATGAATAATTTTAATCGGCGCGGCGCCTAGCATTCGTGCTATTGCTAATCGTCATATTATTTATTCGCAAAAACAATAAATGCGCTACATTAACAAATTTTTGAACTACTACAGGAGCAAGGCCACTGTTGTACCGAGTGCCTCTAATAATTGATTCATTTCGTATACTCGCGTTACTTTTCTTCAATCTAATGAAGGATATGAAGAAGTATAAATAAGACAAAAAGTTGATGTAGTTAGCGACATGGACATGCCTCACTAAAACACCCAACATACTCAAAAACGAATAGTAGGAGAGTAATTTATGTTCCTTGATACTGCTAATAATTGCGCACCTATGGCTCCAGGTTTTGAATGGCAAGATAGAGGCTTGTATCTTTAGTCATGCCAAATAAGCAGCTTTTAGAAATAAGACTGCACAACGTGTTATATGATGATGGCACCAGAATCAACCACTGCGAAATTGAAAACAGCAAGCTGTCTTTTGAAATTGTATCCCAGTTTGCATTGTCAACCGGGTCACCACTAGATGGCGCCGATTCTGATGCTATAGTAGTTACGGTCTACTTGCCATTGAACAAACTAGTATTACATATATAGTTTTCATTCGTCAGACCACAAAAGGCAGCCACGAACAGCTGTTTTGTGATATCTGGCAACTCCTCAGTATGGTTTGAGCTTGGTGTCAGGTAGGACAAAGAACGAAAGCTGAGCTGCTATCCTCTATTCAGGGTAAAGAGTCTATCGAAATAAGACAGCACAAAGTGTCATCAATTATGAGAGTCGACCACTGCGAGAGTGAAAACGGCAAGCTGTCTGTTGTCCTATCTGAGACCAAGGCTAGACCATGCTGAGGAGTTGCCAAATAGCACGAAACAAAAATTCATTGTGGGCCATCACTGGTCGGAAAAACTAAAAGTCTAAGTTTCAGTATTGTACGTGTAAGTGCATAGAACAACCAATGTCAGAAGTACTACGAAAAAACAAACATTTTTGCTCTGAAATTAGTAAAACCATGCGGCAGATGAAATGAAAATTTGTATATGGGTAGGGAATATGTATATGGAACGAAACTAAACTCACCAAGCAGAATGGATTCGTTTGCATTGACGTACTATGCAGAAGTTGGATAAACTTAGCCAATACTGAATAGCACCATTTGCTTTCCGTCACTGTAACCATAACCAAGCGTATACAACGATGTTTCATGCTTTTTAGCAATATAGGTCTAGTTATTTGGAGACGTATGATGGACGGTAAACAAGCGAATATGCGCTTACTGAATCTCGGTATTGGGGTATGCGAAAAAAATGGCATCTATGAGTAGTTCGCTAATCGCACACTACAACACTGAGTTTCAGTAGACCCAGATCTGCTCCCGGGATTTCCAAATGGCTAGACTCACATCGTACTGATGATTGCGAAAAAGCATGATACAACGTTGTATACTGTTGGTTGTGGAAGCAGAGACTTAAGCAAACATCTCATATCCAGCCTATATTTTCTATTGAATTTTGTGGTATTTCTATTTCAACTCCTGAAATATTTGCAAAAGGACCACCCAAATTGGTTACAAATTTCATACAGTGACGAACTTGTGTCTACCATCACATCCCCAGATACTATTCACGGAAGAAGATGGCAACAGTTGAGTCCACTCTGTATGTGTATTGTTTGCCAATTCTTTTATCAACTAGTCGATGATAATTGGTGCTTGCGCAAATAACAGAAAAGTAACATCTCTTTGGACCAACATCAAGACGTACTTGTCACTTGTCACTCGAATTCCCAAAGTTGTAGGTTATAGCCCGCCAAATTGGCATCCGTTATGTATCATGGAATATGGAGCACGGATTACAAGCTATAATAGGCATTATCACCATTGACATAGCTGACTTAAATGTACTAGTACAGTACAAATTACGATGCTAATATTTTAATACTTAAAAGAAACGTTAACGGAGCTAGTTACTCAACACTTAACCCTGTAGGTCAACATAAAAAATATACATTCTCGTCAGGTTTTTATTACTATCATACATCACGATATCATTTAATAATGCAGATAAAATACATTTTTTTCTAAATAAAACTTCGCGAAAATAAACAATTTGTAAAATTGTGACCCATATTCGAATCGAGCCTTAGATTGCTATAAATTTTATCTCGTTTAATCGCTCCTTTCATAGAATTTCAATGGATTTACTACTTACAGCTAGAGATAATATGGATATAAATACTTGTTTTATGAAAACCTACGTACTAGATATACAGAGTGTGCTAAGTAAATCAAGCCATAATTGAACTACGATAGAAAATTCAATTATTCTTAATCTTGTTATTGAGTTTATAAATTGTTTTTGGTTGCTATTCTAGACTGTTCATGCTTTTGATTTTTTAATATAGTTAAAGGCCGTAATGACTAGAAAATTAACAGCCCAGCCACATAATTTTTCAAAACGCAATAATTTGTCCATGTCTTTGGTAGCACTCTTACATAATTTGGCTTGTTTTGAATTTTTATTATAAAATGTCAGTTACTTGCATACCAGACTTGGTGGTGGTTACCTTAGTAGGTGGTTGAAAGATTGGATATGCGGAATACCTTCTCTTTGATAACTGTACGCGCAGTTATGGTTAGGACTTTGAAGAAATTTGTCGGTTTCTCTTAAAACAGAGTTTTTGCTTCATTTAAACACTAGATAATTTTTTAGATTATATTTTATAACCCGTACATTGTTATTTACGGGTATGTGAATAATGGGGTGGGCCGAAGAAACTTTGCGGTTATTTTTAAATTTTTTGAATTAGTCTTATCAGAGTTTTGAATGAATAGTACATTGAAACCCGTTCCGTTGTACTGTTCTCTATTTTGTAGCCAAAGGCTGATTTGCTGGTGAAGATACCTATCAGTGGTTTTTATAAATTCGTCTCGAGATTTAGCTCCAGAAACTGTTCCCGAGGCTTCCGTGACGAGTTTTCTACAACGTTTAACAGCCTGCGTGTGAACTGGAAATTGAGCGTCAGGAATATGTCAACCGTTTTTGATATTTTTTTCTTTATTTTAATCATACAATTCACAATTTTTAAAACTTCGAAATAAATAAATAGAGATTTTTCGGTACACCGTAATGTATAAATACTATACATGTTTGAATATTGACACATTTACCAGTGACTATCGAGCTCTGTAACTTGAACAATTCACAGTATACCGGGCAGTATAGTTATGTGTTCATGCGTATGATAAAAATAGATTTGCGTTAACAATTGGCAATGATTCATTTTTAGTATATAGGCCACTACTGTGTAAAAAATAAGTAGTTTTTATTATTGTATTCATGAGCGATAAATTGCATTACCAATATAGTGATTCAGTAATCGACTTCAAGCTGATATCTCTTCAATTATTTTTCACTCGGATTTTTGTGGACATTCGTAGTAGTGCCATAAATAGTCAGGTCTAGAGGGAATACTTTTGATGATTTCTATAAGGCTGTACATGAAGTTACAGTAACATTGTAGCACTGGATGGTGGGTTCAAAATACAGGAGGAATTGGGCAAGAGTACGTCATTCTATCAACTTCTTATACAACCCTTTAGCAACCTGTTGAATAAAAAGGTCTGTATACCAAATGAAATGACATTTTTTTTTTTAAATCCTGCTAACATATTTTTTCATATTCAGATCTCGTTAATGCCCCGTCAAAACAAACGTCACCGCGCGATGTTCAACCTCGTACGCCCAATCAGGAAATGAATGCCTGGGAGACATCCACGAAAGAAAGAGAAACAACGATGAGTTCTCATGTTTGTTCTGTCGCGAAGTTATTTTTCTAGTTTTTAGGTCAGTGGATGCTTTTGTTCTGTCTCTTGATATCCCGTCGCAAAAATGTTATTTTTGGAAAATATGTGGTTAAACTATAAAACTCAGTAACGTCATTCATGTTTGTCAATTATTTATTATGGCAGCTTTGATGAATGTTAGTCGAGTTTTCTGAAATCGGTACTCTTCGACTTAAGTAGAACAGAACTTTTAAAAACGTGCATTATTAACATCTGTGTTGTTTTTGTAGCCGTATAATTCACAGACAAATTTTTCCAGGATTGCAAACGTTTCATATTGCAATCCAGGCACATCAGACTTTGCAAGATCAGTTAGTGCGTTCTGATAATCCACATTTTTGACAATGATTTGAAATGGTCTTTTTTGTCTTTCTTAAAAAATGAAAGGTCCTAATTCAATATGTAACTGCGTAATATTTATACCTATATATATATATATATATATACCTATATATATATATATATATATATATATTTATTTTCATGTTTTCCAATAATTATACCCCCAAAAAAGTGTCTGCCTTTTTGTAATTATTTATGTATTTAAAAAAAACAACTTCGGGGTGTTTTTATTAAATGTTAACCCCCTCAAAAGTGACTGCCTTATCAATTTTTGTGTTTTATGAGATTTTAAATTTCAATTTCTGCTTGTTGGTCTCTGAAACAAACACTTATTTTGGGCATTTTTTTTTACACGTTTCTCCTATGCGCAGTACCTGGTGTCCCCAGGTAGGGCAAGCCAACACTTGCTTACCTGCTCGTCTATCCAATAAATGCTATAACACAAAATTTTAAGGTGCATCAAACAATTCATGGAACGTGTGTTAGTAGCTCTTGGACTAATATTGCCGTCCTTTCTGTGCACGCCCAGAAAAAGCGGTACGTGGTGAATTTACCACAACTTTGCGCTCAAACAGAAAAAAGGCTATATCGAGCTTTCGAGAAAAACAGATCAGAACGCATTAAAATTTCACAAGCCTCATTATGCAAAAGCATTTCCATTCCACTTTAACGAAAAGCCTAACAATAAGGCAATAAAGGAAAAATTGTGTCTAATTTTTTCAATGGCCATAAATTGAAGTAAGGCTGAGGATGGAGTAGCCTGGATTCGTAGATATTAAATAAGGCCCATACATAAAGTTAAATGCCAAAGCTAAAGTTCAAAGATCGTGGCTAAGAACGATCCAAAGGGCAGTGTAAAGGCAAGGCCCAAAAGGATATGGCTTTATTAAGGGTAAGGATTAGTCCAAAGTAAGGCAAAGCTAAGCCAAAGAGTAAGACTACTGCTCAGGAGGCGGTCCCCAATGATTTTCGGCAAATTAGAGACACAATTCATTTTCAGCACATCATGGGCCTTTCAATAGACTTTTTTTTAAGAAAGACCATTAAATAGAGGAAGTGATCGAAATCTCTTCCAGAAGTGAAGAAGCTGTCAATCAATGCCAGATATTTTACTAAAGATGGATATGTGCATGGAGATGGGTGGAATACAAAAATTGCAGACGTACACTTCTTTTTCTGCTCCCTAACTTCTTCCACAGTATCGTCTCATTCTAAGAGGCATCACTAGGTTTTAACTATTCTAGGAGGACCTGAATCAATTTTATTAGTTACTTCCATTGTCCTTTCCAAACTTGAAAAGAAATGGTAGATTTAGGTAACTGGGAAATGTAAATGTTTGCGCGAGTAAAATAGGAAACTTGTTTATCCTATACATCTTCAATTAACGATCTAAATGAACCAATTTTATGAGAAAGATCATCTTCTGTTTTTGAAACCTTACGGCAACATTCCAACAGAAACTCGTGCTCGGAATATTTCATGGTAGTATACAGATGAGTCTTGCACTACGAGAGTGATCGATGTTTGTGACTCTGCATGTACCTATATTCCCTATATCAGAGTTAGCGCTAGTTTTTTAATGCCCACTTATACCGCAATACTCCAAAGACTATCCAATAAGCATTTGAGGGTTGACAATTTGAAACCATTCTCCATTTAAACAAATTAAATTGGAAAACGTCGTTTATAAAAACATGTTGGTCTATTGATTGCATTTCTATTGTTCCAGATCCAAGACTGAGGCATAAAGCCAATAGTGGCGTCCGAGGGGACGTGCTACATTTTACCTTTGGTGAAGGCATCACCAAGTTCCATGTCAGCAACGCCACGCTTTTTGTATTTTTAAGGGGGACGGACAGGCGGCCTCTGCCAGATGTCAACGTCGAAGTCTTTAAGGTAAGATAGAAATATCATAATCAATTATATTTTATGCGAAAAATTCGACAATAGTCTACTTTCGATGCAATTTCCAAGAATTGCAGTTTTAGTATCGGAGGACAACTTATTCCCTAGATAAATTGAGAAAGTCTACCTCCGCAACAAGCAAAAAAACGCACTCAAATCTGTTCATACATTGGGTAGTTCTTGCGTTGATAAAAAAACCTACAGGAAAATGGGTCCAACTTTTTAACGAGTTGACCAATTTCTATTAAAAGACCGATATAATAATCTACAGATTAAACCCTTGCAAACCACTCTTCATCAGGCATTCATTTGGATAGATAGGGCTTTCAATTAAAAAACAAACGCATTGAAATCAGTTCATCCATGTCCTAGATACATATGTTAAACTTGTAACACCCCTACTCTTGCGTCACAAGTCAAAAGTACATACAACTAACAAACTGAAAAAATAGATACCAGAACGAAAAATGCATTCTAATGGAGGTTGTCAGATCCATACAATTTTAGTGGCTTGAATTTAATGAATATCCTGCGGAATATAAAACAATCGGTCATTTTAAACTAACAATCTCTTTCCAATATTTTATACTGCGGCGTTCTGCTCAAGATGACGGAATCCGAAATTATTTTTTTAATTATGTGTTGTTAAGGTATTTGAAGCGAACTTGCTCATAGACTGAAATGTCAGTGTAAAGAAAAAAAATTTCGAAAACAGTAGTGTAGACCCGTCAACCTCTGTAGGTATTTATCGTCTTACATAACCTCACTCATTTTTCTCAGTTTGTAGGTTACATCTTCTTGCATCTACAGTGGCGCGCTGAATAACCATCAGCTCAAAAACATCCTTAGCAATGATTGCTGTCAAACTTTGACTTCCCACGCTAATTGAGAAATTTTGAAAATGAGATATTACGTTTATTGGATGCTACATGATGAAAACCTTGTAACTCATTTGCGTCGGTCTGTCTGTGTATACATACGTCTTACTGTGTCAGTATGCCTGGGTTGGCATGTAGGTCTGTCTGTCGGACTGTCTGCCTGTCCACTAATCTCTGGTCCCATATAGCTTAGAATATATCGTAAGAATTTGGTGGAATCAAATTTTTAAACAAGGTTACTGCTATGCCAAAGACGAAAAAGCTTTGTAGTTTTCGGAAATCGATGCAGTGGCGACGGAGCTATGGGCAAAAATCGAAAAAATATAAATCCATTTGAGACTCCTACTCATTTTTAGGGAATTTTTTTAGAGTTAACAAATTGGGGGGAGGGGGGCGCTGAAGGGGTGAGGAAGGGTAAATTCCATTTGCTTAATGTTATTGTATTTGTACGCGTCTAGTTCCGGTAATTTGAAATACATATAAATTTTCCCGTATATTAGCGTTTAAGTTCCACGTCGGGCCGACACGACGTTGCGCATCGGTGATGTCGGCTGAGTAAGGGCAATGGAGACAAACAATGAACTCATCGTGACCTGGTCGCTGCTGGTGCTTAGTCATCGCAACTGTGATTAGATCGCAGCGTTACCAAATGGGTGGAGACTGGGGAAGAATTGTATTAGACCATTTGACTGACTTGATTCATTTAAATGCTTTGCAGTACCGTAATTGACTTTTTTCTACGAGCGGCTAACTTATGCGTAACATGACTGGTGATAGCGTTGCGTGGGAAGTGTAGTCAGCTTGATACCATTTTTCTACGTAAATTAGGTTGTCATGTATGATAATATTGTTTTTGTTCCAGTTACAACACCCTGGTGGTGAATCACCGTCTTATCTACGAGTATCGTCGAGGAAAATGACCCAACCATTTGGCAAAGGGAGTTGGATGGAAATTGAGCTCACCGAGACGGTGTCTGAGTGGTTCAAGAGTCCCAGAGATAATTATGGGTTCTTGGTCAACGCCACTGTCAACGGAAAGAAGATTGCTGTGACGGATGTCACTGTTGATAAAGGGAAGAAGGTATGTACTTGATTTTGCTTCACAGTGTTATACGGCAGCTGAGAATTGAATTCACTCATATAATGAAACCAAGCAAACAAAAATGCGTCCTTTACAATGCCTCTATACAAACTTGTTGTTCTCGTTCGGGAGTAGCGTCATCAGAATGTAAATGTAAGCTTTGTCACTTTTTGAGATGATTAGATATCTTCACATTATTTGATAGTGATAGATTTATCACAGTTAAATCATAAGTCTTGGTTATAATTGCCGGTTCATATCAATAATATAATCGTTCCTCTAGACATTTCTGGGAAAATGTAGTTCATAGTACTGAAGGCGCGCGTCCACTGGTCCGCACAGCAAACGTGTGAGTGTTTGTACGAAATGTATGTATGTAAAGTTTTTTGCATAGATCGTACTAAGAACGTCGGACGGAGTGCATGTGTAGGACAGTCCCTTAGCTTTACTCTAAATGTCAACATACGCTTCATACGTATTGCCAATCAGTGGACAGATCACGTCACGGAAACCAAAATGTTAACTATTCGTCGATTTGGACCACCTCGCTAGATCCACCCAACATATCATCGTCCGACATTATAGTTAAATAAAGATCAACGACCATTTCATCAAATCATCAAGAAACTTGCAATGTTCATTGTTATGTTTTTATTATTTAGTGATTGGCAACAGCTACTTTTTCAGTTATTTCTCATATATCACATTTAATCAGGTATATTTTGAGACATCAGCTTCACTTTAAATAATTCTGCAAGTACATACATACAAAAAGTAAATAGAAGAAGTACTTTTGTGAAGGGCATAAGGTATTCTTAAAAAAGTGTCTTTAGCTAACGCTATCGTACGGCACGAGGTGGATTTAGTACAGTAAAACCTGCCGGCCACACCTCCAAATCGCATTTTCATGACAATCCTGTGTCAATTGGATATTTTTGCGCTAGTATATAAGTAAGAATTTGACAAACCAAATTAGGGTATATAACTATCCATGATTTGGTAACATAGCAACTAGATGGAGACGGTAGGATAGTGATGGTGGTGGATGGTGGTGTAGTGATGGGAATATTCATCTAAATTAAAAGAAATTAGTACTTAACAATGAAGTATTTTCAGCGTTAAAATAATGCAAAATTGCATTATGGTGATGAACAGTGTCACAGTAATTTACATTGTATGTACGGACGTATAGATGCGTACCCTAACTGAGATTGTAGTCACTTAGTAAAAAATTGTTTTGCGTTGTTCGTTTCAGGTTCCCTTCGTCGAAATATCGACTACAGAATCAAAACGCCGTATACGACGGCAAATAGCATTTGACTGTGATGAAAAAATGGACCAATCGTACTGCTGCCGATACCCTCTGATGGTGGACTTTGAAGTAATCGGATTTGATTTTATAATTGCGCCAAAACGGTAAGTGTATTTATTGTCTCTAGTCTATCCATGAGACATAAGCTCTGTAGCAAACGGGTCGATAAGTTTTACGTAAGCAGATCTTTTACAGGTAATAACCCCCTCCTCACCTTTTTTCAGCAAAAGTAAGCAAATATCTCACTCCCTTCCTGTGCTTACGTAAACATGTTGATTCTTTTTATAATATGGAGCAAGTATTGGCTTTAACGTATGTGTTCTGAATAGCATTCAATGTCTGGAAAATGAGGAAAGTCTGGCTTGCCCAACTCAACATACTTTGCAATATCATGATAACCACGAATTTCCATTGAAATCCATATCTCTGCTAATACATTTCTGGAAAACTCTATAAGGGATATTTTCAAATATTCATTCATTCCAACACCGCGTTCATCCAAATGAGTTACAAAATGGTCATGAGGCAGTATGAAACCAGCCTAGTGAATGGAGAAGCAGCTTTAAAAACTCTCATGATTGACGCTATTACGATATCTCTTTTTATCCCGGATAATTTATTAGGTCAGCTATCTCCAGGAAGAATACGATAATTAATTGTTTTGATAAACGCAACCATACTTTTCCAAATAATGAGATAAGTACCAAATTGGAAGAGAATAGCATAACTAATCGTACGCCACTGCTAACGCTAATGCAGTGTACGGCCGTGGTTATACTCCGCGGTGGCAGGTGACAGGCGATGCCTGACAATATAAAGACTACAGGTGAGGGATGTTAGCTTATACTGTTTACCACGGATGTCATACATACAGATGCGATAGTGGCTGTTCGATTTTGGTGTCACCAACAATTGGACAACTATCCAGCTAATCAACTACGGCAACAACGGCAGAGGTATTACGTATCTTAAAAAGTGACATTTCGTCGGGTTTTTTGACATTTCGTAGGATTTGCTGTTGTATACTTGTTGTGAACTCGTTTTTTAGCTGTGCGTGTTGCTTAAACGTCAGCGAGTAGTGATCATAGAAAGGAAACGTGGAATGTACTATATTTGCATACTAAAAACTATCTAGTCTGCAAGATGACACTTTGTCAGGTTTTTACGTTTTTTGTTTTTTTTTTTACATAGTACCCCTGCCGAAGAGGTTCATATCCTCCTAATTATTAGTTATATGGTACTACCGAACCAAGGTAAATTATAACCGAAATTTCTATATAGAGATAACCATGGTAACAGTACTCGTCAACGTTCTCAGTTTTAGAAGAAACGTTGTGAACGGAGTCCTCGATATTAGTCGCATTGCGACTTGAATTCTACTTGAAGATGCATTCAAGTGCACAGTTTGTTAGTTCGTTGTATACAACCTACTAAGGAATGTAAAAAACCTTTTGACTCCTTAGTCAGCAACTAGAAGCTGCAAGAAAAGCCAGAATGGAATGCAAGACTATTTCGAGTGTGAACTGCGGACGCAACAAACAGATGAAAAAGTCATGTCGAGGGTTCTCAAAGATATACTTTAACAAGGCGAATATTTAAATCAGTGTCAGTATATTACCAAAGCCTCCAAACTGAAGATACTACTTATTAACGGGGCTCCTACAATCACGAGCACCATCTGCTGAGGTAACGGGGGGGTGAAAAGGAAACGAGGGTGGGTTGGCCCTAGACGGCCGTCGGCGCTACTTTAAAAGAGGAAAGGATGACTGCGGGTGCATACCAAGGTAAATTTTTATAATATCAGAGTCGAATTTCCTATTTTGGTACTCACCAAGAGATTATTTAGCATTTTTCTCCCATTGTTACTGTTCGTCGATATTGTGTTGTTGAATTGTTGTGCTGTACTCTTGTTGGTGTGATCGTTCTTGAGTGCCTTTTTTATCAAGGTTTGTAATGGACAATAAAAGGTCATATGCATATAGAAAAATTAATACAAAAATCATTGGACACCGCAGTTCAATCTTGTGGTTTATTTATTGATCGGACATATCCATTTCTGGCAGTACCGCCTCAATCTACCTATTACAGTAGACAAGAAATGTACTTAATCCAGCCTACCTGGTTATTGCATTGCAAAAACTACCTAACTGTTTCCTCTTATTTTGACGGCATAAGATATTTTTATGACCCTCGTTCAATTGTTACCATATACCACATGACCCTTGTAAACATAATTGTGTTTAGTGACATGAATAAACGAATTGTAATTTGAGTTCTTGAATTTATTTTAGGAAAGATATCAAATTATTTGAACACATTTTTTCTTAGTCGGAGCGCACCGTCGTGTCGCTTGGACTGACAGGACGAAACAGTAGACGAATCTCGCCCAAAAACCGATTTGTACTTCACAGCTTACGTTTTGTTTTTTATTATTTCCAAATGAAACTTTTGCAGCGTGCTAAAAGCAAAGTCCACAGGGTGCTAACGATCCACTTTTTCGATTTTATCCACTAGGATCTTTTTAAAATATCAAGAAGTTTAGCACAAATAGTAAGCATTTCAACCCACCATAATTCTTGCATAAAGACAAAATTTTGTGAAAAGGTCTAATAGCACCTTACGCAATTATGTCCTGCTTATATCCAGAAAAACGAAATGGGTACATTTCACGGGTTATGAAATTCAAATGAAGATGCAGGTATAAAATCTACCAAATGATCGTTCTCAATACCATATATCCTTGACATATCGATAATTTTAAAGTTCCACGCCAAATTCCCCTATACTTGACTGGAGTGATATCCGAATTCATTCTTCCCTACTGTCGGCTGTTGCAGATAGATCTGTTGGCTCTTGGTGTCAAACCTATGGAACAGGTATTATTCGTCGGATTTTCGTTACTTAAATTTCCTGTAATCACTGCGACCAGAAGCTTCTTAATAATAGAACGTGTTTCACTGATATCAAAGATGCAACATTTAGAATCACCTTCCCCCAACCCCCACTTTTTAAGCAGTACAATTTTTATGTCAATGATAAGGAACCCCTGTAACGTTAAAAACGGAGTTTCAGCAATTGTTACTTTTTATTTTTTGCCATTGGACTAAAAAAACAAAGCTTTCGCATACTGGTAACCCCGTGTGGAAATTTCATAAAAATCCGAGCGGTAATTTCCAAGTTGATGATGAGTGATATAGTTTTTTGTGATGAAGATGTCATATGACTTAAAAAAACATAACATCTCATTTTAGAATTTTTTCGCGATTACAATACTTCCTCGCCACTGGCGTGGGAAGTAAAACGGCTTTAAAATCGAGGAGTACCAGCGATCGCGATTATGAGTACCTATTTGCAGATTTTTTTTTTTATATCGAAACAGCCGCGCAGGCAGAAGCCTAAATGCCGGAACACCGCGGCTGCTATGATGATCCCAAAGAAATTTTGTTAATACGATTTTTGAACTGCCTAAGGTTAGTAGAACTGGGAAAAGCTTCCTCCCGTAGATTGTTCCACAATCTAGACACCCTCGGGACAAAGGAGCGGTCGTATCGGCCAGTTCTGGATGTACGAAGTTTGACACGGTTAGGATGGGATGCCGAAGTCAGGCGGGTCTGTCTGGCAGGCGCATCGCGCGGCGGCATCATGGAAGAGAGCTCTGAGGAGCAAAGCCCGTTGGTGTAGCGATAGAAAAGAGCTAGATCGCCGACGGCCCGCCGGTGCGAAAGAGTCCCGAGACTGTCTGTTAGAGAAGAGTCATCGATCAGTCGGACCGCCCTCCTCTGGACAGAATGACTTATCTATGCGATATTATATGAAATAGGGCCACCAAATTATCTGAATACGTCCTTTCTTAGTCCGTACATTGCGCCGCAACGCTTTTGTTGGCAGTACGAAACAGTAGACAAAATTCGTCAAGAACACCATTTGTAGAGGTTTGCGCGCTTCGAAATTAACGCTTTATTTTTTAATATTTTTGAATGAAATTTTCATAATGTGCTGAAAACAAAACCCCACAGGGTGCTATAGAGCCATTTTTTCATTTTTTCACTAGATTCTTTTTAAAAAAATCGCGCAGTTGAACAGAAAAAGTGCGCACTTCAACCCATCATAAAACTTGTGCAAAAACAAAATTTCAAAAAGTGCTCCTATATCGCCCTGCGGAATTATCTTCTGAACATGCCGCATGAATTTCATTCAAAAATACTGAAAAATGGAGTGTCAGTTTCGAAGCAGCTGAACCCTTGTAAATGGCTTGAAACTCACTGCGTCGGAGCCGCCTTAATTGCAGGAGAGACGGTAAGCTCGTGGCTCAATGATTGTCAAGGATAATATAGAGTCGAATTAATGACAATGTTATTTAAGAAAATGCAAGTAGTCAGTTACTCAATGAGATCGTTCCTACCAGTACACATATTAGCATATCTCATATCACACATAAGTGTAGATATCTTCAAAATATTGATGTCTTTTGGTGTATACTCTATACAGGGTGACTTCGAAGTTGAGTCATTTATTTTAACAGTGAGTAGATCTGATCAAAAGAAATGTTTTTTCCCTTTAACATTTTTGTGGTAAAATTAAAGTAACAAAGTTATAGCCCTTTAGAAGTTTGAGTACCGCCCTGTCTCAATAATAATATTATGTGCTCGTGTTTGGCAATAACGGATATAATCCGCCTTATCGGTTCATCGCATCGGAAACAAAAAAGCGAAAGAATTTGAAACGCTGATCACGATGTTTTTATTCAGTCAATGTGTCAGTCGGTAACGCGTGAGTGAATAGTGGTGTTTGCTGCGTGGCTGAAACGAAATAAAACATGGCACATGTTTATGCGGATCGGTTTTCCAATCGAGTGCAACCAACCCCTCGTGCCTTTGTTAATGTAGTACAACGGGCTCGTGAATCAGGTGACTTAAGACCTCACAGGGAAGGGCATGCCGGTGCTCCAAGACCTCACGATCAAATACAGGTCCGCACTGAAATACTTGTCGGGAGGATACTTTATAAAACAAGGTAACATTTTTTTTTAATTTTTTTTTATTTTTACACACATATTTTGGTTTATCTTCCTGCTACAATCATTATCTGAAAATTAATGACTCAACTTCAAAGTCACCCTGTATACAATTAAATAAAATGGTAATGAAATTGACTATACTGAAACGCGGTTAAACAAAACGTTCGTCATCAACATTTTCGTATCTCATCCCTAAAGGGCATTTGAGCAGTTTGAGTAGATGCATCTCCCTTGGTTGTTTTTGTTGATTAACTCTAAGATACTATCATCACGCGAGCTTTATAGAACTTGACGAAATACTTGGATGAACTTACCATATCGGTGGTTTTGGAATTGCCAAGGACAGACAATGATTATATTAAACCATAAAATTGTCAAACTGACAAACGTATTGGTGAGGTTAGTAGATGGATCGTTACTTGCCTGAGTTGCTTTCCAGTGTTTTTTTGTTTGAGAGTGATACGCTCCCGAACTGCTCCAGAAACAATGCATGAGAATTCAACGTGCAGTGGCGAGTCTTTCGATTTATTCGCTAATTTGATAACCGAATATAACTTGAGAAGTACCGCTCGGATATCGTTGAAATTTGTACACAATGTTACTACTATGTCAAGGTCACAAGTGCTTTGTAGTTTTTCAAAATCGAGCCAGTGGCAGCAGAGAAAAAGGCCAAGAACCAAAAAAATTAAAATCGCTCAAACGTTTTTGACGTGTCAGACGATCCTGACCATTTTCTGAAATGTTTTTGTAGGGGTTACAAATTGGGGGTGGGAGAGGTTATATCTAAATTTGCTGACGTTAAAGTACGGTGAGAAGCGCGAGAAGCGTGCAATATGTATGTTAGAAAGAGTGCGGCGATAGCATCCGTGACCTCGTGCTCAGGTTGCTAAGCAACGAGGTGCTTCTATCTATTTATTACACAAATTACCGCGTCCGTGGTATTTGGTTTTCAGTATATTTATACGCATTGAACCCCAGTAGCTCTACACACATATAAACGTGCAATGTGATACCCGGGATGGATAAGCGTCGTCGTCGGTGGTCGTACGCCACAGTCGGCAATTGCTCCTGCACCGCTTTGGTGCTGCGGGCTAGGTTGTGGACACTGTGCATGGTGAAGGTCAATATCGTCATTTACGCATTGATCCCACCCTAACATGGGAAGTACAGAATCAACTTACTTGACGCCATTTTGGTTGACAGACTTTCGCCTCTGGTTGTATTCTGTGCTTTGTACGGTGTCGCTTGCAAGTTGCAGACTGAAAAAAATTACTCATTAATTTGCATAGTCTTTGTCAGGTTGTCGTGCAGATTTTCAGAGAACAAGAAAGTAGTACAATATACGATACACGAATTGTAGTAGGGTGATACAGCCAGTAGAAGTCTGTCACATTTACGATAACGTCGCCAGCTAGGCCAGGTATAACAGAGTACACTAAAAACAATCCAAAACAAATACATGCGAATTTGCGTAGCCGGTCGCCTACCACCCGCCACGTGTCGCCTCCACCTGGAGTGTAACCGCGGCCTATGAGTGCTTGGATCTCACCATACATTGCGACAGATCCTAGATCAGTGGCGCTGGATGCGTTGCGCTACCCATTTCCATTTTGGTACTTGACTATAAGTACTCACGATGGACGCTTCTTTCCAGATACAACGCGCACATGTGCCACGGAGAGTGTCCATTCCTGGCCATGCAGAAGCATGTTCACACCCACCTGACCCAGATGACAATGTCCAATAGCATGCCCCCGTGTTGCACCCCACGCAAGATGAGCGGCATCACGATGCTTTACTTTGACAACCAGCTAAATGTCGTGTACGGAGCTCTACCAGGCATGGTGGTGGATAGATGCGGTTGCATGTAGAGCTACTGGTGATGCTGCAGTAGATGCAGTCCAAGGAGAGCGGAAGGTTGGTACAGAGGAGAATTTGTGCTGTGAAACAAGTGCCGGAACCGTCCCCGAATGCTGACGAAAGGTGACAGTGAAGTGGTAACGGTTACTGGTTGCGGATAAGACGGGAAAAAGCTGGAGGAAGGGTCAGATGAAGTAAGAAGTTTAAAATGAATCCTTCCAAAGTGATAAAATAGATAAGAATAAAGGCTTATGTTGAGATGAGATAATATGGAAAAAGATATCATGGTAAAATCAAACATGCCAGTTGAATGATTCCTTCATATAGCATATAGTACGAAGTGCCTCCTACTAAGCTATTCTTTCACAACAGAAAAATAAGTATACATATTACGTACACAGAATTTTACAAAAAACAGAAAATGTAACAAAGCGCGAAAAAAGGGGAAACATTTGAAAAGTAAAAAGCGTGAATTGATCTAGTGGTGGGTGTAAGTTTTATTGAAAAAATACATGTATGCTAAGGTTAGTTTCTAAGTTGATCTCATTTCTATATTCAAGGGTGATCTAGGTTATAATTTCCAAACTTTAAAGCAAGATATAATTTTTGTGATGACCCCACAATATACGCGTAACATTCGAAAATTTAATGACTTTTGGGTATCTGGTGACAATTACTATGAAATGGAAGTGAATAAACGGATTCATCATCTGTACTCCAGCTTTTTCCTCTTATCAAAGACTAAGAAAATATGAAGGTTGACTAGTATTCTAAATTAATGAGCACTCGGAAATAGTGTCATTCAAGCGCTTATGATGTAATTTATTATTTCATAGTTTTGTCATCTAAAAGTGCGCTCTCAATCAGTCATGTTTAGTGACATCTTTTTTTAATCTAATGCAGAGCTCAAAATTGACATCCTAAATACTTCCTAAGTATTTACTGCATGCATTTATTAACGACTAACGAAACTTGGACTGGAAGAAGGGAAAACCCATCTTTTAGTGTGAACCTGTGTCGCGGGCTCGAAATCGGGCATTTATGTTATGTGGTTTTGAGCTCTGAATTGTAGGTGTTTTATAATTTCCATTGATATCCTTTTCACGATTGTTTTTTCGATAAAAACTTCGTTTTTCTATAAACGATATTTTTTATCAAAAGGTTATCTTGAAAAAAGGTATAACTACGTGCGAATTGTGCATCAACAATGTCAGTATCGGTACATAATTTATTGTGATACAATTTTATTTTGTCAGGATTCTTTATTCTCGAAATATGACTGAGAATAGGTGTAGTCGTTATATTAATAGAGTATAATGCATATTTTGTAAGCTGTTGAGTTTTTCAGGGTCGATATAAAGTTAGGTGTACTTTTGCTGGTTATCAGAACTAAAGGTGCATTCCTACATAATCAATTTGGTTGATTGAACTCACGAAACTTATCCTGTGATTGCCTTTCAGAAGAATCTCCATACTCCAATAAATAAATCACAGATGTTGAAGAAACTGCTTTACCACCAACATTTTTGAAAGTACTGCGACCATTATTGTGCATACTGCATGTTGAAATTTTCAGGCTCTCTCAAGCACCTTTAGTTTGTCGGACACCTTATTATGAAAACGTGATATAAAGATCTCGGGTAAAGACTAAAATATAACATTTTTTCGGATAAAACCTTTCGAATAAAGAATCCTAAATTCGATCGAACTCTTGCCTGATTTAATGTGAAGTATTTATATATAAATTGTATGTTCAAAAGTATTAATAAGATCGAGAAGCCGAAAAACGTAAAGCATAAATGCTTTAGAAATTTATCCTCCAGGCAGCTTTAGTCTTTTTGGCAAGACATGGACCTACTTACAGTGTATATAATTTTGTATAAATATATGTGATATGTTTAGAGGTAAGTGAATAATTGTATTTATTTTTGTAAATTTTAAATATTACATATAAATTATCCAAATCTGTTGGTTAACGATGTATGTTGTATTTTCCTATCTTTTAACATTGAATTAGGTGAGAGCAAGGAAATTTAGTTTTAAATAATATAATTCCGATACAAATAGAGCAGCCACACTTATTGGAACTATAGATCATGCTCGTCCCCCAGATAGTTGTAAACTCGACAACACATTTTGACAGCTGTCAAATTAAGGTATTTCACCAGTAACATTCCGTCCAACACCTCACGTTCAACGAAATTATTGTGCGAGGGGTCCTCCTGTAAATTTACCCTTCTTCTAACTTTTTTGTACGACCTTCTGGAATGCCTTGATTTTACTAGAAAAGTGCTACCGAATAAAGTAGTACTTTTTCAAATAGAAAAATTTATATTTTTAATGAAAGTCCCTTTTGTTCATATTCCAAATATACATAAATTGTTATACAGTGGCCTTCAGAAAGAACCCATGTTTTTTTAATGAGTAGTACAGTCAAAATAAGTATGGGAAAAAATATTATATTATATCAAAATACTCATAAATACATGCCATTTTTTAAGTAAAACAAAATTTACGTTCTAAAAACTATGTCGGTCATATGCCGAAATCCAGGAATCAAGCCTCTCCCGAAATGAGCCCATTGCGTCGGCCAGCATCCGTGCAGGAATTTGGGATCGACGAGGGTCCGAGGCTTACTTTAGTAAACTTTTGATTCCAGGTAGCTCCATAAAAAAAATCACACGTTGACAGGTCCGGTGAGCGAGGGGGGCATGGAATATCGCCATGACGTTAAATGATATGTCCTGGGAATTTTTGCCGAAGAAGTTCCATCGAAGTGCGAGCTGTGTGAGATGTTGCCCGTCTTGTTGGAACCACACTGTTCTGAGACGGACACGGAAAAAAAAGTTGTTCAGCATGTGGATGTAACGCTCTGAATTCACAGTAGTTGTTTATCCATCATCCTCAAAAAAATAAGGGCCAATAATCATCGTTTGGCTTACTGCACACCAAACTGTAACTTTCGGGGTATGCAAGGGGTGCTCATGCAACTGTTTGGGGTTCACTGGAGACCAATATCGACAATTTCGTTTATTGATGTATCCATGTAAATGAAAATGTGCTTCATCACTCATAAACAACGTCATGTCATTGTTATTCAGCTGTTCAATCATGAGCTGTGCAAAATTAACACGTTGTGCATAATCCCCTGGCAACAGTTGTTGTCAAACTTGGATTTTGTAAGGATGGAACACTAACTCCTTCTTCAAGATTACAGAGGACGCATGAATCCCTAGGGAACTTGCACGCAAACGGACAGAAGGATTTAAGATTTGCAGCGTGTCAACTCTCACTCTGTCTACATTTTCGGGGTTCTAACGGAACGGTTTCGCCCTGGAGGTTTTCTCTTCATCACATTACCACGACGTGGAACACGAAAGTGAACGCGAAACTCACGTTGCATCCGAACGACAGACTCGCCATTTTTAAGGTACCGACGTACAGTGAACACACGATGTTCAACGTTCCAAACCATATCTTTAATTGAAACCGCACTTCTCTCACTATCCAACACGCCCTTCCCCACCGAAACGGGACCAGCCCACTTCTTTCTGACGGACCCTGTACCTATTTTTACTACTTTATTCAAAAACCTGAATTTTATGTTTCCTTTAATCATATGTAAACCATTTTGAACTCAAACCCAAACTAACGAAAATAAGGGTACCTGTAAACAATATGTAGTGCTTTTCAAAAAGGTACCATGTCGACTATTTTTTTAATTGATCAAGCTAGCAAAGCTAAGATTCAGTATCATGAATTGGTTCATCAATATTATATTTTTGTGGGGATTGTAAGTTGGGGGAGGGGGGGGGGGTGAGGTATTGTAAATCTGAATTATTCAGCCCTAATATATTTATTCGCCTCCAACTCCAGTAACTCTACGCACCTTTCAGGCACATCTCACATATCATAGGTTTCCTCGTACATTTGCCCTAAAAATGGGGATGAGACAGAAATATTTGAAATACACGTATCTGCTTCATGATCTGATATATGTCTGAATCGTGTTTGACATATGGAGATGGGTGGCTGGGAAAAGGCGGAGTAAGTCATGGCAACGTTGCCAGATGGTTAATAATGTCGGTAGGATAGAAGAGCAACTTCTAGATCGCAACGTGCTGAATAGTTGGGTATTATGGACTAATTGCGTAGACCTAATTGACTGACTTAATCGATTTATTTTTTAGTTATACATGTACGTAGATAACTGTTTTACCAGAGGGGCTAACTTGTGTCACTTATGATTTGATAACAGCAGTGCGTAGGAATCGCAATCATCCTACTTGACGCTATTTTTTCCAAACGGTCATACAGAAAAATTAGAAGGGTACTTGATTTATGGCGAATCACGCTGTATACAAATTTGAAAATTACAAAGTATCAAAAAATAGTATAATGCGTGGTTGTCAGTTGCTCTAATTCCTCATTGTATGGAGAATATACATTGTCAATTGATCTGCATACAGTGTTCAGCCAGAAGTAATAGTCCAGTAGTTACTATGGTAAGATCTCAACATACATCCGTTTTCCACGAAAGTATTAAATTTTACTGTTGTCGATCTAAGAGCAAATAGGTTCTCATGGAAGGCCTTGCGTAGATGGAATTGGTTAAGAAACGAAATGCATTCTAGCAAAATGCTTCCTATAAATAAGATTGAATCTCAAAGGAAGAATTATGGCGAGCAAAAACATATTTGGGAAAAAATTGTGGCTTAGAACGTTCATTTTGTGATAAAATGCCTTAGGAAATTATATTTTTGGATACATTTTGCCGGTAGGTTATTGTGCTGAGAATGGTGGAGCATATGGTCCAATTTCATACAATACACAAAGTTTCAGCTCTTTCCGTCATAGAAAAGTGAAGATTTTTCGCGGATATACATTTTACTTCAATAACAATAATTAAAGTTAAACATTACACAGTTCCTAAGATTGTAAAATATCTGTTTCACTGACTACTATTAATTTTTTTTTAACTCATTGGCTCAACATAATCAAAAACATATGTATTGGATTAATCTGAAATGATTTTTAGTCTCGCTTCACCACCCTCCTCACATTAAAGGAAACGATGAGTTTAAGAGGCAATTTTTGTACATAGGCTGTAGTTTTAGATTATTTCATAACAATATATAGATCTCGTGAGCAAAAATATGTTATTTGGGTGTTTGACAATACAAAGTACATCCTCACAGATATTCACAATTTTATCATTTTAAAAAGTAACACGCGTGTGCCTTGTAGTTTGTTAAGTCAATTCTGTAAGTCCCGCCGAATCGAATATTTTTTAGGAATATTTTTTGTGGAGCATTGAGCGGGAGCGATCGTGTAGAAAAATACTCCGATATTAGATCTCTTCGAAATGCTGTTAAGCAGAGTAACTTTAAAATTAGAATACCTAGTTCATTTGGAATTTTTATTAGATCGTCCTACCTAGAATGAAAGTCGATGTACTTTAAGAGTATTCCCTTATGCCCTGAAACGACGTGTTGCTTGACATGAAGTGAACGTTTTATTAATTTTTGTGACATAATTACTGTAATTAAACGTAAATAATATGTACATATACGTATGTAGAATCGCGATGTTCAAACCAGAAATAACTATTTTACAACTAATATTTAGTTCTGTTATTGATCTTTTTTTTTGTTCTGAATATTGCCGTTTTTGCTTTTTGTATGTACATTAGAGATGTAGTGATAGATTTGCTAAAATAAAGTGATGGAATAGCAACTGTTTTCAATCTGCCTTTCTCCCTCGTTTTTTTGTGACTTAATATAGGTTTTTCTACAAGACATCAACTTAGCACTAGCTGTTGTACACTTGCTGTGTACTCGTTCCGTATCTGTACGTGTTACCTAAACATCATGATGCTTCAGCTATCAATGTTTGTCTCTAGTGGGATGTAACATCTGCTTCAGAGATGGCATTATTGGAGGTCTGAGCTATAAGTTGTATACTATACCTGGAAGAAGACGGCAGTGCATACGGTTACTGACTACTTGTGTGCTAATAATCTGTGTTGATGATGATTCCATTGCTTTCTTGTCTCAAATACACTTACTTGAGATGTGTGCAAAGCTAAAAATCTAAAAATTAGTCGCGCTTCGGTTGTTTCTTACTCAATCTGGAAATTACAAATTTCAAAAAAGAGAGCGATAAGAAAAGAAAATTTCTGGTTGGTCAAGTACATTAAAACTGACAGGTAGAAAATATGGTATATCGTTACATTTAACAATAATTTTTATTTCCAGGCATATAAATTCTACAGAAATTTATTGCCTAGTTGTGAGGCAGTGCGAAAATGTTTTGTATGTGACGCGTCATTTTTAATTTTTTATATAATGTGGCTTAATTACACACACCGCGGGTGTGGTGTTAATTTTCCGTAATGCTTTCTAAAGTTTTTGAAAACGCAAAAAACGGGGAAAATCATAATGAGTAACTTTGAACATAACCTGTCTTCAGAAAGAGACAAGGCAAATAACCCGTCTGTCACAACTAATAGATTTATTTCATGGGCAACATATGCAGTAATAATTTTGTTTTATAGCATTCACTTATTATTCAGGGTGACTTCGAAGTTCAGTCATTTATTTTAACATCTGATCAAATGCAATGTTTTTTTCCTTTACCATTTTTCTGGTAAAATTAAAGTAACAAAGTTGTAGCCCTTTGGAAGTTTGAGTACCGTCCTGTCTCAATAATAATATTATGTGCTCGTGTTTGGCAACAACGGATATAATCCGCCTTATCGGTTCATCGAATCGGAAACAAAAAAGCGAAAGAATTTGGAACGATGTTTTTACAATTATTTTATTCAGTTGTATACAGTCAGTGTCAGTCGGTAGCGCGTGAGTGAACAGTGGTGTCTGTTGCGTGGCTCAAACGAAATCAAAAATGGCACATGTTTACGCGGCATCACGGATTCATGCGGATCGGTTTCCCAATCGAGTGCAACCAACCCATCGTGCCTTTGTTAATGCAGTACAAAGGGCTCGGGAATCAGGTGACTTAAGACCTCACAGGGGAGGGCATGCCGGTGCTCCAAGACCACACGATTAAATACAGGTCCGCACTGAAATACTTGTCGGGAGGATACTTTATAAAACAAGGTAACATTTTTTTTTATTTTTTTTTATTTTTACACACATATTCTGGTTTGTCTTCCTTCTACAATCATTATCTGAAAATTAATGACTCAACTTCAAACTTCAAACATGCAATGTACACGATCATCCAGATGTGATCTTGCTACTCTTCTACTCAACCACACATCTTCTCAGTGTATTCTCTTTATAGACTATCTCGGCATTCTACAACCAACAAAGCATGATGGGAACTGATTTGCTTCTTGCTGCATGGTCATTGAGCGTGTCGTGTCATTCCTCCATTGATGGAGGCTTTTGTTGACGCTCATAGCGAGCAAACGAGGAATGTACTATTTGCACACTAGGAACTATCTAGGCAACAAGTTGACATTTTGTCGTTTTTTTACATTTTATAGGTTCTTTACGTAATCGCCCTGCCTCAAGTAACATCTAGCGGACTGAGCTAAGTGATACTTCATGCATCACTATACCGTAGAAGCTAGGTGCAACTGAACCTAACAATTTATCAAAACGCTTTACCCTGAATCGTGAAGTAGTACAGTGTCGGTACTACGGGGGCCGCAAAGAGGGTCAAAGCCAGCGTAGTCGCCAGAGAATGTAGAGTATCAATATAATCAGAGGTCAAAATTATCATAGCGAATCAAGTATATCGTCACAAGGCGCCATCGAAATCAATTTCGAAGGTCGAAACTCATTTAGAATCAAGCCCCAGCGATCCGTTTTAGCCAAAGATCAATCAGGGACTGCCATCACGGATGTAGGCACAACGATTCAGAGCTCTGACTGAATGGTGAAAATCACGAGGTTACGATGGATCTGACATAACTTCTTATTACTGTAGTCTGGTCCTGATTCACGAAAAGAATATTTAAGCGGAGAATACTGCAGTATGAAAAAATAGAACCCTACTGAAATTGCGAACTATTCCTTCACATTCTAGTTAAATATAAAAATTAACTGTTTGCCTTCAATTCAGATGTCTACAGAGAAGAAGGATACCGTTGCACTTTTATATGATATATCGAGTGTTCGTTACAAGCAGCTTTATTTACTTTGGATAAATAATCATCTTGGCTTGATGTATCAATATGTACCGTTCGTATGTTCAAATAATTTTCTATTTCGGTATACACGTGTCAAATATTTAAACATTTTGATAAAAATAATCTGTAAATTGATTTAATAAGTGATTCGACCGTCACGGCTTACATTGTATCTGAATTCGCGAATATCGTGTGAAAAGCCATTTTAGTGGAAACGTGAACTTGTGAGAACAAACTATAATATTTCTATTATTGCACAGTAACCTAATTTTGGCAATTACTAAATATCGTGCTTATGAGTTCATGTCAGCATATAAATGCATGTAAAATGTATAAGCTAAACACTAAAGTATTAAAAGTTTACGTAAAACCGCTTAGGAACAAGCTATTTTTGGAGCCCCCAAAATGCGACGATGTCATGTCAGTTCTTTGAAATAACTGATGACTTAAGCGGGTTTTTCGGCTTTGAAAATAGCTCATATTTCAAGCTGATCGGATCAATGATAATTTTGCATTTAAATATTTCACAATCCGTGTATTTTTTAACCTTCTATCGACATTTTTCTGTTTATTTTAGTAGTTGATTGAACTTTAAAAGCAAAAGGTTTGCAATCTTGGCATTTAGTCCAAATTCACCTCACCCTACTATTTTTCTAGCATGGTCGATAATCTTTCTACTTCAGATCTATTACAAAACCCATTGAGACAAAAACATATACAAATAAGTGTTGACCCACTGTGCTTACATTAAAAAATGAAATGTTACTATAATCTTGTGTTGATTTGTCTTCATTGTGAGCGCATTGGGCAACACTCTCATTCTTAAATTGGTACCTATATTTTGTGCCTAAGTGTGTGATATTACAGATTTAAAATAGAAAAAGTTGTATCCATGCACTCGTATAAAAATAGAGGAAGTTAAATATTCAGAAATGCCTAAATTTCAAACTTTTAAGCTGTCAAAGAACAGTCAAGTACTGAAATAAAACACAAATGTTGATGAACGTTTAAGATACTTACGATCACAAATCACTAAATGGAAAAATTTCATAGATCAACTTGAAATTTAGATTATTTTCAGAGACAAGAATCTCACTCCAAATCTTGATCCTTTAATATACGAATTGCTTTACAAATCAAGATTTAAATGTTTTCGAATAAAGGTTAGATTAGGAAGGGTTATAACGATTACATAAATTACTTATTTTTGACCTGTCTGTATATGTGTCGCGTTTCTATGATAGCATAATTTCGGAAACAACTGAGGCAGTAACTTATTCTCAGAAATCCTGACCACTTTTTAATTGAATTCACGAGATCTTTCCAAGTATTCTAGAACTCATATAGGTTCTCGAATTCAGAGACACTCTTGGTATAGCCTTTGTGTTCGGAGATTGAAAACTGAATTATTTGTTACCTAAAATAATTCAGATTCTTTTCGTATTATCCATTTTGGAATGAGGTAATCAATGATATTTCACTGTCAAAAAAATTAAAATTACCAAGCTAACATTGGGTTAAACATTCCGACAGAAGTTAGTAAGATTAGTAGATTTAAGTAAATATTTTCTGTTTATTAAATCATACGGTTAATATGAATAGATGTGTAATTTTTCCATCACATACTGTTTTTTGGTACGATGAGCAACAGTAGCTAGCAAGGCTGTAGGGAAAATTTCCGGACCCTGAGAGAATTTTGAATGCTGACATGCATTGAAACACGATTTTTGAATCTATACTATAGATAAATGTGTAGAACTACTGCTAATTATGTTAACATTGGTTGATTTATGGACTTGTATGAGTGCACAAATGTAAAGCTTTTTCTGGATAATAGTGCGCACGATATACAGGGTGTTCGTTTGAAAACTTCCCACCACAGATTTATCGAAAACCACTGCTTAAAAGAAAAAATGCCGAAACACGTCAAAAAATTTGTCAAGGGGGACATATTTTTAACCAAAAACTACTTCACTCGATTTCACTCTCTACCCACCAGGGTCATCCCCATAATAGCTTGTTTGAAACGTCTTTCGAAGTCTTTTATTTTGACGTTTTATTTTTCAAAAACGGTCGATTCGTTTTCAAGAAAATTAGAAAAATCTTTATTTATCTGAATTTGCCCAGATAGAAAACAAAAACGCTCAAAAATATCACTTTTTGTTTTAATAACTGTTCAAAATCTTGCCCGTTATTGGCCAAATAATGATATAGGCGATGTTTAAATTCCTGACGGACATTTTCAAATACATGTGGGATATCATGGCAGCTTTAGATGATGCGGTGACAGTTGATCCAAACTTTCAGGTTGGGAAGTAAACACAATAGATTTCAAATGACCCCATAGAAAAAAGTCTAATGGCGTCAAATCAGGAGATCTAGCAGGCGATTCTATATTTAGCTGGAAACTCGTCGTCTAGCCAGTGCCGAATTAGAAGAACATAGTGAGGAGAAGTGCCGTCTTGCTGAAAATATATTTCAGCTTCATCAAGCATAGGGCTTCCATCCTGTTCAAATTGGTTTTCAATGGTTTCAGTGATAAGCGGATCGATGGTATTTTCTAACAAATCCAA